CAAGTGACAGAAGGAAATCCAGGTGAAACAGAGAAAGGGAAAGCTCTCCACATGACAGGTCCAATTTGTGAAAGATGATTTTTGTCACTTTTTTTTTTTGCAGATAGCACCTGTTGGCACCAGGCATAATAAAGGACCCCGGAGTGTTAAAGAGAGACAGTATGGCTTGTTCAATGGGACAGGAAGTGGAGAAGGGTTCAGTCAGTAGATGAGATGCTGTTCCTCACAGTCATTAGCAATTAGCTCCCCTCCTTCCCTTTCAAAAAGTAACTGAGGCCGTGGAGGGCATCGATGTTTGAACAGTGCTATCTCCATATTAATGGTCTTTAATAAAATCTCCTTCATAGCACCATTCACAGTCTATAAACGCTGGTCATTTATATTCTATATCATCTAACTCCTCCCTTTCACCCCCATGAAAACTGGCAGCTGCTTCAGAGCAAAGGGCACATACCCTTTTCCACTCCCAGATGCTTGGCATTACAACCATGTCTGGCAACGAGACAGTGTACAATGAACAAACAGAAGATGAATGGATGCAAGGAGTGCTTCTAGGTATTTTCCAGGCCTTGAAAGGGTTACTTTTCACACACAAACTTGTTTTGTCAACCAGAATGGGAATATTGCAATTTAGCAGCTTCATGAGAAATGCATGCTTCTAGAACAGGTTCTTCTAGAAAAGGAATGCTCAAAAAAAAAAAAAAAAAAGCCATAAGCACCAGCCAGGTGGCCTGAAGATGTATAGGAGCATGCTGTGAGAGGCTGACAGGTTATCCTGGGACAGTAGGAAGAGGGGGAGGGGAGTGGGTACCACCTTACCCAGCAACTGGAGCTGCAGGAAGTCCCAGAGACAAAGCCTGGAAGAGGCAGGTATGGTGAAGGCTCTGAAGTAAGAGGAAGGCTCTGAGGCTCTGAAGGGAGAGGGGAAAATGGTCTTCTTTGGGCACATTTTAGGCAGCAGAGAACTGTGTCAGTAGGAGGTAGTTCTGCCTACTGAAACTTCTATCAAAGGTAAACTTCCCATGCAAACTGGCACCTTAGAGAGCAAACTTTTGCTATGGCCTTGGAGGGACTCAGGATGTTTGGTGATTGGTGGAGTCTCTGAGGCCTTTCAGCAACTGTCTGAACACTGAACACTGAAGAAATCTGCTCCCTGATCTTATTTTTGGAAATGATTACAACACAGTCATGGTTTGTTCTACTGTGAAAAAAAAAAAAGAAAAAACTGCATGGAGGACTTTTCAGTAAATGCCTCTGTGCCACAGTGCTGTGCGAGTCAGGTGTGTGGTCCTCACTGGAACCGTGAGGGCTGGCTCTGTCCTTTCCATGTTAGCCACTCCTTCAGCTCCCAGAATGTGTGTGTGAAGGGGGCCTGCGGCTCTTAGGGCTTTCTGAGTCTCTACTCTCATTGATAAACTGGAAACATGTCAACGTCATTGTGAGGGTCACATGTGATAATATAACAAAGGGCTTAGCCCCCCCCAGGTAGTACCTAGCAGGCTGCTGTCACAGGCCTGAGGAAGACAGGACTAAGAGCACGTAGCTGGCTTTGAACTGTTATGTTCCATCACTAGCACTTATTCAGTTAGCATAGAAAGTAGGGAAACCACTTTGCAAAACTATCTGGCAGTATCTACTAAAGTCACATATCCCCTCCTGATGAACCACTAATTCCTTTCCTGAGTATGTATTCAAAAGACATGAACATCTACCCCAAGGCACGCATGAGAATGTTAATAGTTGCATCACTCACAAAGCCCTCAACTGGAAACAGCCTGGATGTCAAGTAGAAGAGCTCAACTGTGGTATTTTCACATAGTGGGACAGACACAGAGCGAGGACAGAGCAGCGACTTACACATGATGGTTCTCACCGGCGTAATGGTGAACAAGTTAAGCCAGACATGAAAGAGCCCACCATATGATTCCATTCGTCAAAGTCCCCCAAACAACTCCTCTATCGTGCCATGATGTCAAGAGAGTGGTGGCACAGTGAGGGACAAATGGCCTGGGGCGGGGCATGGGGACTTTGGGGGAGTGATCATGTTCCCTACCTCCATCTGGAAGATGGTTCTAGATGTGTCACTTCATAAAAGTCCATCGAATGTGGGAATGTCATAGATGGTGGGCACATCACAGTGCCTAACCCTTTGCTGTCTCTGCCTGGGAACAGAGCCCAATTCCTTGCCCTGTTTGTATTGGGTTTGTCTATGTCACCTGCCATGGACAACCAGAGATTAGATGGTATGGCAGGAGCAGACTGGAAATGTTTGTGGTTTGTCTTGGTTCAGCTTCTTGGGCTTCTGCAATAGTCATAAAAGGAATAGACCTCAGAGAGCTGCTGCTCTTTGGTCCTGATTTGCAGATAATGCACACGGGCCAGATTCAACTAAACCTGCAGCCTGGAGCCTGAGGTTGCAGCTCACTGTGAGGGTGATTGTGAGCTGATTGTGTTAAGCTATTGAATGTTGACCTGCTTTGTTATGCAGCGTTTTGTAACAACAGTCAACAAATATATTATTCTTCAATTAAAAACTACCTTAAGATCTCTAAGAGCTGAGCCTTCCCTGGTGGCACAATAGGTGAGGACTCAGCACTGCAAATGAGCTGCAGCACTTCAGGGCAAGTTCGATCCCCAGCCCCGGAGGTGACCCAGATGGTGCAGCAAACCTCTCCTGACCTGCCCACTGCTCCCCTCAGCAGTGTACTTTGTCCATCTGCCTGTTCTGCTCCCAGCTCTTTGTCTCTGATGAATCCTTTCACCCACACCTCTGGCCTGTACCCCAATTCTGTAAGCATAAGTAAATAATCTTTTTAAAAAAAGATCTCTAAGTGACACCTTTTAACAGTCACCCATTTTCATTAAACTCACTGACCTCCAACTTTAGTGATGACATCATTCAGCACTTACGTACACCAAATGAACCTTGGTGTCCCTGTCTATAAAGTGGGGGTGACAGCTTCCCTGAAATACTCTAGGGAGGATGAGAGTATCTAAAAGTACTCTGTAAATTGCAGAACTCAGTTTTAAAATGATGGGTGATGGGCCCAGGAGAAGAGGTCGGAAAGCAAGACTGTGGATGAGGCCACACAACAGGGCAGAGTCACTTCCACCCTGCAGAGGCCCATCCTAGCTCAAAGGGCGAGGACATAAATGTGGAGAGGAGGCCAAGGGACCAACATCAGCGGCCAGAGTAGTCTCAGAGTTTCTGAGCCTAGTTTTGGGGTCCCCGGCTGCCTGGGGAGATGGCAATAACGGCCAGGTGTCTATAGGCCAGCTATGCACAGTAGACCAAGCCAGACCCTGCAAAGGCCACCAGTACTCTCAAATCTACCCCCTACCCAGGACCTCCTAAGGGTCTGAGGCCCACTGTGAGCGACACTCAAGTGGGTTAACATACCAAGGGCCTAAGCAGCCTGCTAATTCTTCCTGCCTTTCCCACAGCACTTCTCAGTTTACAAAGAGCAGGCCCATCTGTTCTCTCATTTTGATGTTACTTCCACTCTGCAGATAAGAAACCAGAGACACTGAGAGACTGATTCCTGCAAGGCCACTTAGTTAATGAGCACTGGAGCTGAATTTGCAACAGGTTTTCTAGCCAAAGTTTAGAGATAACTCGCTGACAGGAGCAGGAATCCCACCATCAGATGTCAGCTGTACCCTCAGAAAACAGGTAGCACTGGGGCCAGTAAGCTCTGACAGGGGTGGGGGAAAATGGGTCTGGAGTATAGGGTAAGCTGTAAATTTTGAAGGGGTGCAGGCACGTGAAATGAGGGAGGAAGAGTTGTAGGTACCTGCCATGCGAGGAGCCAGGGGCAGCAGGAGGAGCCTCCCCCACCCTCCCCAATATTAGCTCTGCAAGAAATAAATAAAGAATGGGAAAGGGTGCCAGTGAGGCGACGGATGCCGTGACCCTGCCTCCTCTGCACTGCATCCTGCAATGAGGGGTCCCCCAGGTGACACCCCCATGCCCATCTAATTGGAGGACTGGACACAAGATTCCAGGTTCATGTCCCTTTCTCTCCCCTTCCCTGCCAGCTCCAAGGAATGGCCTGGCTTCACATTCTTGTCATATTTTTGTAACAGGGTGGTCCCCAGGAAAAGGGGAGGTTCCAGGTTCCCTGCCCCACCCACAAGGAGGATGGAGCTGAGGAGAGAAGAGAGGAATCTACAGAGGAGACTGAGGAGGAAGGAAGCAGGATGGAGAGCCAGAAGGAGCCATGAGGGAGGCGCATGGAGCAGAGACATGTGAAGAGGCGGCTCTTGCTTCTTGGTCCTGGACTGGTTGAAAGAGAAGTGGGGGAGACCTGTGGGGAGGTTCACTATGGCAGTGTTTATCTTGATTTTGATGTTGCTCTTTTCCTCCCAGACTTGTCTGGCCATTTCTGACCCTTTTTCATGGGTCCCGGCCAGAGGGTGTTTTAGTCTCGGGACAGGCTTTCAGGCCTTGCTTTGGACCAATCCCTTTTGGGTGGACTTTTACCAACAAGGGGATGGGTAACTTTGGGTGTTTGATTTAGAAACTATATGCTTTGTCTTTTCTGTATTGCACACTCCTTGTATTAAAGTTCCTTTCCATTAAAGGTCTTATATGGTTTGTCTTGATGCAGCAGATGACAGAACCTATTTAGAGTGGGCAGGTTTGGGGGCTCAGGGGTGCCCCTCCCCCTGCCCTGTAACATTTTGAGATCTGTTTCATTGCTTCAACAGAAAGGAGATTCTGGAACAAAGACATACTTAAACAAACACACACTTCCTTTTACAGTGCAAAGATCAAGGATCCATTTCAGCTGATTCAACCAAACAAAACCACCCTGGTGGCAGGACTTGGGGTGGGTTATTGTTCCATCATTTGCAATGATTTTCACATAGTTGGGGGGGGATTTCCACAGACAAGGTGAGAGCCCTACTGCACCCTCCTAGTGTAGAGTCTGGGGTCAGCCCTGCAAGCGTCACCCCCTTTCTCCAATGCCAAGTTAGTTCTGTGGCTGAGACACTACCTCCGTGGTCCGAAGGCCATTCTGTTTCTGGGTGAGAGGGCCTGAGCTGAGGCTCTGGGGATTCGGGAACTGGGTTCCACAGTTCATCTTCTTCTCTGGGTTGGCTATTCCACCAGGGGCTGTGGATCGGGGCACACCATTGGAGGACACGCCATCTTCCAGCACACCTGAGGAAGGAAGCAGAGGATGGAGCCGGGGTCTCACACACCGTGGCAGCAAACAATCCAAGGGGAAAAGGCAGCAAACAGAGGAAATAAAGGTCCCCACAGGGAGCTATACTTTTCTATAAGCAGATGTGTTCCTTTACAAACATGAAATCTTACAATTATTTCATAATTTGGATTCTTTTTTACTTAATAATACACTGAGGAGACAGTTCCAGGCCATGAAATATTCAGCCAGGCTACTTTTCACACATATCTAGATGTGCCATGTTTACTTAACTAATCCCCCTAATTGGGTATTTCTTTTCTGGTTTCCTTAATAAATGTCACTATGGGCCCTCCCTGGTTGTGCAGCGGGTTAAAGCACTGGCATTAAAAAGCTTAAGCCACTTCCCCATGAGTTCGATCCCCGCCTGCCCCGGAGGTGACCACATGGTGTGGCAGACCTCTCCTGACCTGCCTGCTGCTCCCCTCAGCAGTGTACTTCCTCGATCTGCCTGTTCTCTACCCCACTCTGTCTCTGGTGAATCCTCTCACCCTCTGCATCTCTGGCCTATACCCCAATTCTGTACAAATAAATAAATCTTTAAAAACAAAACAAACAAAAAAAATAAATAAATGTCACTATGATGGAAATCTTCAGCATTCAAGCTCTATTCTCAATTATTTCCTTAGCATAAGTTCCTAGAAGCACTAGTACTGGTTTGAAGGCCATGCATGTTTTTTTTTTTACATAGTTCCATCTCAAGATGTCAGGCTGAGCATATTTCCTCCCATGACAAATATCAAGAAATAATCGACTGAAGGTCAGATATGAAGCCTCACTGAAAAACAAGAGTGAGACTATTGTGAGGAACTTGTAGATGAAGAATGTTTGGCTGGAAAGAAAAAAGCAGCCCAGGAAGCAGCAGTGGGAGACCAGGGGTGATAACAAATGGGCAGAGGCTCTGTGAGGGCCACCAGAGGCCGTTCCACAACTCGGCCAGGTGAGGCCAATCATTAGTGACAGAACAACCGTGAAGTTGAGAGATTGTGATATAGTAACAAGTATGTATCTGTAAGACCCTTGTAATTCCCTGAGTGATGGGGTAAAAGGAACATCTTTTGTTTTCACAAGGTGACTTTTGCTGGGCCCCTAGGTAGCTCTGGGATAGGGGCTGTTTGCCAGAAAGACCTAGTCTTAATTAGAGATGCAGAACTGTCAACCCCACCTTCTCCCCACCCTCCAGAGAGAGAAGAGGGGCTGAAGAATGAATTAATGATTGGCCATACCTATATGAGTAAACAGACCCCCACTAAGAACTTGAACAAAGGACAGTGATTCTGGAACTTCCAGGTGTGTAAGAGCACCCCAACTCCAGAGGCAGAACTTCATGCACTTCAGATTTTTCTCTATGCATTTCTTCATGTCTGTCCTCTTGTATTCTTTGTAATATTCTTTACAATAATCTGGGGAACACAAATAATATGTTCCTGGGAGCCATTCTAGTCCATTACTGAATCTGAAAGGAGTATGTAGGATCCCTGATTGACAGCAGTGCAGGTGGCAACCTGGTAGCTGGTGTCTGAAGTGAGGTCAGCCTCGTGGACCTGCGTCCCTAGTCCATGAGGTCTGTACTAAATCTAGGCAGTTAGTATCAGAACTGAACTGAACCGAAGGATACCCAGGATGATGTCCAGAGAGCTGGAGAACTGGTGAATTGGGGGAAAACACCCCCTGTATTTGAAATGAGAAGTGCTATGAGTTGAATGACATGGCTTGGAGAAAAAGGCAATGCTCTCGGGGCTGGTGACACTTAAGAGAAAGAAAATTCTGCTAGGATGACTGGCTTTCTTTAAACAGTGTCAAGAAACAGGCCAATGGTAGTTTCCATCCCTCTCTTCCCATGGGGTTTCTGAAATAGATACAGCTGTTGTTCTAATAGGAAATTTCAGTTACAAAAATCAGTACAGAAACCAGAATAAACAAACCTTTGGGAAAGATCAACATGATAAAAGTGAGACCCAAAATTCTATAATGGAGGCCCCCAAAGGAAAATTTTAAATTAGTCTCTTCAGAAAAATGAGGGAAGGTAGTCACAAAATGAGGACAAGAATGACCAAGAATGGTTCAATTAGAGACATTGGAAATAATAACTTTAACTGTTGAAATGAATGAAACCAATAAAATTTAATAGAGAAACTAAGAAGAGTAGACAGAATTAAAAAGAGTTTAGTGGATAAGAAAGCAAACTAAGGGATTTTCCTGGATGGTAATATAAAGGATTACATGAGAGTATGAATATGCTAGGAAGTACTGACTCAAAATCCAGAAATTTCAGGTCCTCCCTGGTGGCGCAGCGGGTTAAAGCACAGCACTGAGAAGCTAAAGCCACTGTAGCATGAGTTCGATCCCCACCCTGGAGGTGACCACACGGCGTGGCAGACTTTGCCTGCTGCTCCCCTCAGCAGTGTACTTCGTCAGTCAGCCTTTTCTGCTCCCCACTCTGTCTCTGGTGAATCCTCTCACCACCCCTGCACCTCTGGCCTGTACCCCAGTTCTGAATGAATAAATAAATCTTTAAAAAAAAATCCAGGCCCTCCCTGGTGGCGCAGCGGGTTAAGGCATAGCATTAAGAAGCTAAAGCCACTTCTGCATGAGTTCGATTCCCGCCTGCCCCGGAGGTGACCACATGGCGTGGCAGACCTCTCCTGGCCTGCCCACTGCTCCCCTCAGCAGTGTACTTCAACGATCTGCCTGTTCTGCTCCCCACTCTATCTCTGGTGAAGCCTCTCACCGCCCTGCACCTCTGGCCTATACCCCAGTTCTGTATGCATAGATAAATAAATCTTTTTTTAAAAATCCAATCTAATAGGTGTTCTTAATCTAATAGGTGTTCCAGAAGGAGAAAGTAGAGAAAATAATAATCTAATAGGTGTTCCAGAAGGAGAAAGTAGAGAAAATAATATTCATGTAAATAGTATTTCAGTTCTTCTCAGAACTGAAGAAAGACACCAAACCTCAGAGTGAAATACCCTAACAAGTGCTTGGCAAGGCAGGTAAGAAAAACCCACACTAGACAGATCTTTCTGGAATGTCAGGATATCAATGATAACAAGAAAAATTTCAGAAGAGGGAACACAATCAAGAATGAATTTGACATTAGACTTTCAGGAGCAACCGATGAAAGTAAGATTATGGAACAATGTCTTCAAGATTTCAAAGACAGACACATTTTAAAGTCTTTTGCAATATGCTGCCAAATTTACCTGTGCTAACTTACTCCAATTACCCTGT